AGGAGCACAACCTTACCTTTTGTGGAAACACTGCACATAGGCATGGACGTCTAATGTATGTGCCTTATCTTGTTTGAAAATAAGAACAATATCGCCTGTATACTCCAGATCAAAGGGTTTTTGGTCGTCTTGTGAAGAAAATCTCGGAAGTGAATAAGAATAGATAGAGACAGAGAGAATCCTTGCCAGACACTGCTTTTTGTTCGGGAACTTTTGGGGAGCTCCTCACGTATTTTCACTTTCACAAGTCTCAGGTTACAAAAACCATATTATACTGACAAAATTCTGAGGCATCGCGGGTAATTACGCACATTAGGGAGGACGGACCGGTCAAAAGGGTCGAATACATCCGGAATGTCCAGGATTGCTAACACTGTGGGTCGGTTATACCTACTGCTTCGTTCTAGATCCCAAGGCAGCGTCAAGCTGTGGTCAAAAAAGCCCACCGGGCTGGAATTCAGCTCTATATCCCCGAGCTAATTCTTCCCTAGCCGTCGTAAGAAGACCAAATGCAAATCACTTTGTGACTGAATTTTGACTGATTGCTTTGTGTATGAGTCCGTTTTCCAAAGTGGATATCATCACCAATTCTTCCCATTTTTATGGGAAAGTCTCCTCTTCAAAGTTTTCTTACAGTATGCTGTGAAGCTCATCCTTTTAAATATCTCCGTTCTTGATCCCACTTGTGAACGTTATTTGCATAAAAGTTGAGCTTTGACGACCGAAATCATACTGTCTTTACGATTACTGTCGATTTATGCCTGAAAATAACCACTTTGGCTGATATGCCACAAACCAACGTGAAGTTAATTCTACAGTGATCTTGTTGCAATGAGAGAAGCACTTCACTTGTTTGGTGTTTTAAGACGAAAATTTGTGCCTGTCAATAAGGAAAACTACAGCAAATTAGGCATATAAAGGAGTATGTCTATGTATGTTCGAGCAGGCAAATTTTCCCATAGTAACACCCATTCACGGTGTGTCTAAACAAGAAACAGGTCATTAGCTGGCAATTAGTCAATTAGTATTGGAGACAAGAAGGCTGAAAACGTCGATCTGCCGTCATAGTTTTGGTTTGACTATCTTTAGTGCGTGATCACATTAGCATAAGCTGGTTAATTGCCACAAATGTGATAAGCCACGGAACGAAGCCTCTGGCTGATGATGCTCCAACATATGGTGTTGCAGCTTACGACAGGAGTAGGGAGAGATAAGTAACCTGGTTCAAGATAACATGTTCTGTCCAGGTGACATGATGAGAAAATGTTCCATGCGCGGGCTCAAAAAATCCTAACATGTGATAGGAGGTAGTCTGATAAGGGCAAAATATGGTTCGGCTTGGAAAAGGAAAAGCCATAGTTCAGGTTTCAAGTAGCCTATGCGTATCTGTCTGTCTGTCTGTCTATCTGTCACAACATATGTTCTGTTTTGTGGTCGGTGATGAAAAGTCCCTTATCTTTTTTCCTCACTTCCCACATTTCTGGCCTCCAGTAATGTAGGACACAGTCCACCAACCCCCTCTATGTAAACCGACAGGCGAATGGAACAGTAGCAAATCATCCTTTCCCACATTTGGCGGAAATTTTGATAAGGATTCTGTATATATCGCCGCAGTGCTCCACTTTGGGGTCATCAGTACACGCAAGCACAAACCCGTGGCAAAACGTTGAGGCTGACACGTGCTTTCTAACATTTAATTGTTCATTTATACCGAATAAATTTGCGGCACTACTGCATGAAGAATCCTGAAGGACAGAAAGCGGTAGGTTGTACCACCACACGTATATTACGGTTCAGTCCGAGAAAATGCGGTGGGAGTATATCACTCGGCGGCACACCAAAAATCAAAGCTTGGGCTCAAAAGTAGATCCACACAGGTGTACCATAGTTTTTGGGTGGGGGTAGTTCGCGGAGAGTTGGGCAACCAGTCGCTGTAACCAGAAACATTATTTGGCGTCTACCTGTGTCCCATAAGCGGAGGTTATTTTTGGGGACTGCCATAGAACACAAAAGGTGGCTTTCGGAGTTCGGTTGTAGAATAATGACTTTAGCAGGCCAGTTAAATCCCGTTAAGCCAGAGGTAGGTAACACTCCAAACTTCGGAACTAATTCGCAAACCATTCATGGACAAATACTGCGTGTGATAAACCTAGAGAAATTTGTGCATTATCTTCACCTGTTTATCACACAGTATCAGAAAAAAGTAGTCGAAGTATAACAAGCATTCAAACGTCTCATGTGCATATTTGGCATTCTTAGGTTGGATATTTAGCGGATCACTGGAGGCGTCCATACCGAATTCTTTCACACCCGGAAAAATACCACTAGAAAACTTCTTAAGTGATTACGTCACGTCTGGAAAGCATTTATGCTGATGCTTCGTGATTTATCTTTCATGTAAACTGTCTTGTTTGGGGGACTGAGATTCCTTGCCAAGTAATTTGAACCATTTTCATCTTCTTTAACACGTCACTCAGCTTGACGCCTGATTGATCATGAAGCTACTCTCTTCAGCCACTTGTCTGTTTGGTGGCCAGAAGTAGTCACTTAGTTCACCTGCGACGATAAGAATCAGATGTTTGCAAACACCAAGTTACCATTAAACACCCAACAACTTTTTGGTCAGCTCCCATTTGGCAAGGATCCCTGATATGAAGGAAATACTTGTTAGTTCCAAATGCTTGTTGTTTAGTCAGTTTCAGAGAAAGCGTGTTCATGACCGTATAATCCACTTATGTGGGTTTTTTGGAACAAAACAACTGCCAGAATGGCCTTACGATGACTACTTCAAAGCTCGTAATGGCTTCCATTTGGTAATTAGCACTGAGTGATGAAGATACCAGTATCGAAAATAGTGTGATCACTAAACACCATCTTGCTACACTGATTTCTGTAGTACATGGATGCGAATTCTGAGTAATGTAATTGTTCCAACTTCACGAATCATAATTGCCTAAAACTTTGTGGAGTTGATTAAAAGACTATTTTAACAGAGCACCTGGGAGCGATCAGCTAATACAGAGTAGAGTGAAGAATACCCATCAATGATCATGGCGTTTTATACTCTTCTCTGTGTCAGGGTGAAAAGCTTCTTACGTTTTTGCAATAGACAACTAGTTTCGGAGACGAAATCCCTCGTGACACAATGTGGACGAGATGTGAACCCTTTTCACGTGTGTCAATGTCTGTATGAATGTGAAAGGCTGTCATGCTGGAACAGGAGACGGAAAACCTTTGAAGTGTGGCTAACATGGGTTTTCAGAGATCAGCCAGTCATCAGTGAATACTTCCGTTTAAGGAACCTGCTTGATCTGCTGACATTCAGGCAACCATGCGTTGTAAACTGTTGAAGATTGTCCCATGAGCAATCAAGAAAATATACTCCAATATCTGAAATAAGAAGTGAGTGCATTCAGTTGACCATTCTGTCCTGTGAAGTCAGTACAAAGAATGTAGCTTTTTTGGCTTATGCAATACTGATAGCTCTGAAATCGGTCCGCTATTCCCTCCACTTAGCCACCGAAACAAGTTACAGTCACCGGAACATGGATTATCGACAGTATCACAGCCAAACGCGGAAATAGCTCCTGTTAACTGACAAAACTTTTTTGGAAACGTAATGAGTGATTAGATCGTTCCACTTGATTGTGTGTGAGCGTCTTGGGCTGTGATTTTAAATGCTACCTAATGAGCTTGGTGTTCTTCGGGCAAGTTAATATTTTTTCAATAATATTTTGGACCATGTGCCAGCTACGGAGCTCACGCAATGTGGCGTCTCTCGAAGAATTTGTTCACCGCGGGACAGAGCTCCGATAGTTAATTCGTCAACAGTTCGTTGGCTCGGATTGTCAAAGATGTGTGGTCACGAAAAAAATAATGAGGGTTCTGAATAAGAGAGATAGGCTGTCATTTCAGTTTTATTTCTTCAGATTTCTGCAATTCACTCATCTCTGTTAACTACACAAGAGAATGAGACGGATGGGAATTAAGGATGACAATAAAATATACTACTATGGGGGCATTTTCTAAATAGGCATCAGTGGCGAAATCCGTTCCATGCGTATTCAGCATCAAGAAGGTAAAATCCAGGTAAACTCACTCGCAAGAGGAGTTGCGCTTCTTCCAGGGTTATCAGCTCAACAGGATTCAACGACGTACGGCTTGCTTCGCTCTTAAAGGATAAGATACATCAAATTCGCATTCCACCCCTATTAGCGGCCATATTATGGTCTGCCAAAAACTAATATTTACTTGCGTTCGCCTAGCCATGCACCACTTTTGTAACACTACACTATAAAACAGAAAGCTGATAGCAGAAAAATGGGACTGCTGCAGCTAGGCGGATTTCAGACTTTGGCTGGTTCTTTTCTGGAACGAATCACCCTTTTCAAGGCAAGATTTGTTTAACCATTCACAACTCGTTTCAGTATTTCTTGCCAAGTCGGGCTGATTACTAGGAATCACTGTGAGACTGAAAAATAGCTCCAGGCATTGGACTACTCCAAACAGTATTCTGAGGGAAGGGGACTTACCAGCGACACTCGCCTTGTCTTTCCTGGGGCAGCCGGAAACACTAGATGTAGAATGGAAATACATACAGAATATGTTATGTTTACATCCTGACCGGATATCTGGACCGCGTCTGACAAAAGTGTAAGAACATTAACGTCTCAAATTATGTCACAGCGCAGAAGTGTTGCTCGACCGGTGCAAATCCAACTATTGTGTGGAATCATAGAACGTATCCTAGACTGGAGTTGCAGCTAAATAATTTGAATAGCCGAAAGCCCTGTTAGTTCACAAACTCATCGGAATTCTCCACACACCGTCCAACATATGGCTGTGACTACGTTTTTGGGTTTGATGGAATCAAAGCATTCTGTTTTCTCCACAGCTACTGACATAAAAGAAAGCAAAATGTTCTGGCAACAAAACAGGTTTGGGACCCCATTTGTTAAACAGCGGTTGTACGAAGGGAAAATTCGCCGTGTTACTTACCTTCTGTGATAGGAATACAAGCCAGTGGCATGACCAGTTCCATCACAGCCTCTAATTGGACACCGACCTTCAGCACTCCGGCCTTTCTTTCCTTGGACAGAGAGGAGTAAAAATGAACGAATTTATAGCAGTATGAACCAAAGTTATGGTTTCTAATACGTAGCTACAACAAACAGACATTAAGTTCATTGGTTTCATCTCATTTAAATAATTAAACCAAATTGAATCGTGCAGTTGGAAAAGTTTTTCAGGATGTACTATCAGTCAGCAGAGCAAAGCTGCAAAACAAAAGCAAAACGTGGAAATTTAGCATTAATTTCGGTGGTTGTCGCTTAAAACTAAGGAGACCTGTGTCGAAAACACCGTTTGTAACGATCAGCAGCCCTCAACCTGTCGATTTCCTCTTGATGTGCACGCGGTTCTTATTTTTGAAATTCAGTTATTTTTGGTCAAAAACTCCACCAGAAACTTCACTAGAGAGAAGCTTTGCGTTAACATGAAAATTCGTCTTTTCAATGAGTAAATAGTGCTTGTTTTACATGAGTGTTTCGTTTTCGGTTGGACTAACACTTATTCTCTTTTAGTTGGAAAGTCATTTCGTAAAACTAGTGGAAAATACACTAGTTCATATCACTGCGAGAAGAATTAATCGTCCACTTCATGAAGGCATTCATTTCTTCTGGTTCGGTTCTTTTGTAATATAACTAGCGTTCACGAGATGAACTATTACTGTACATTGCATTCCCGTCATTCAAGTCTAGGTGACCTTTTTCAGCAGCTAGAGTAAATTCAATGAAAAGATACACGGCAAAGTGTAATGACGAATTCTGCATCCCTCGGAAAGTAGTTTGACTCCTGACTGATGAGGATCGCCTAAAATGATTTCCAAGTTGATAGTCTCTCGAAAGAAGGACAACACTTAATGGATTTCGGTATGTTGTGCTACTAGCGATGCACCAGACTTCCGTACTTCAGTCTACACTTTGCGTGAGTGAGCTACCATTTGCGTGACCTGAACACGCGTTCATCCAGCAGGCGAATGAATAGATTAGGTACGATGTACTCTGTCCAAGTTTGAGGTAAGAGAACGTCTCCTCAACAGCATTGGACGGGTATTTTGAGTTTTTTTCCTTACGCTTTGAATTGGATTAACGCGATTAGCATTATTGAGTATTTCAACTGCAGAGTCATTAGGGTCATATTTTATAGCCGAGGTAGCTGACAAGAACTAGTGGGAAAAGTATACAATCCTGTGGGGCTTTACCTGTTCCTGAACGACTTCTTTCAATCGTTTCTGGGGTTTTTGGACTGAAAGATTGGTCTCCATTTTCCAACTTCGCTTTTGTAGTGCGGTCTCTAGGACTACTGGACTGACTGGCGTGAATGAGTTCGTCCAATGAACTCAGTTCTTGCGGATACCTATTTGCATTGAATATCTCTGGCTCATAAAACGTCAGTCGTTGATGCTCACTATTCTTTGAGTAAAATCGATACGATGCCATATTGGTGGGATAGGACGATATACTTGAATGCTGTTTCCATGATTCCACCTCCCCCACACTGCACCCGAGTGGAGCAAAAGTTTCCGTTGCGCAGTTCGACTGTGCCACTGCAGCTGCAGTGGCTGGTGTCGCGGCGACGGTAGACGTTACTGTAGTTTCACAAACATCTGATTTGCGGACCAATGCAAGCGCCATTGAAACACATTCGCGCGCGCACGGGGTGGTATCGAATTTCTCCGAGTTTTCACCCCCACCATCACCAAGTGAGTAGTCTTGTGTGGAGGAACCCGACTCACTCAGACTGTTGCTCCGTGACCTGGTACTGTGCATCACGCTTGCTTTGAAAACAAAGCTGATAAACGGCGGTAGGTATGATCGGCTGGTTGGTTGGTTGGTTGGTTGACAGACACACAAATGAAGTGCGTCAAATTTACTTTGGTTTCAATCAAGGCTATCGTAAATTTTTGCGACTGAAAATGAATAAATGGATAACATGAGTCAATGAAGGTAGACATATTACCATACAAAATGGACAAGATAGAGCACAACAGTAGAGATATTTAGTCCTACGTGTTTGCATCCATCAGCTGCTTTTGCTACATGTTAGTTAACGGGTGAAACTTTCAGTCGCAATATCTCTATTTACTTGGCCATTGGGGTAATACTGCATACAAGGAATAACTCGGAATTTACTTTGGTGTATCACTGTAAATATTCAACCGAATTCATCACACAAAAGACAGCCACATCAAATCTGCCTTATTCAGCAGAATTTTGTCGCCACTTTCAGGAGACGACCCCCTATTCCCAAGGCTCGTATCAAGTGTGCCGGGTTTGGTTTGTCTTAATCAGTGCATAACAATGCATAGAGATAATCAAAACGCTTTCTTTAATCTCTTCCGTTTCGATTCTGTTTCACTTCGACCTGAAATATTCCGCAGAAAATCCCAAGTTTTACAATAGCATGTGGTTTTTGGATCACGTGTGACCGCGTGATGTGGAACCCGTGATTGAAGGATGAGCGGCGCTATATCATGTCTAAGTGCGAGTTAATCACACTGCTGATCAGCCACTCTTGGCCGAACGGTTAGGTGTTCAAACTACTAGCCGGGAGGTCGCGGGTTCGAGACTCTTCGGAGTTTCGTGAGACACGCACTGCTGATGATTCCCAATAAGGATGAAACAGCTGTACAGTGCGTCTCGGCTCTTCAGCATAGATTGGCTTCAATTACAGGACGAAATCTCCACAAAAATGGGCTCGGTTTCTTGTTACATTGGGCTGTGTCAAATGAATAATGCTGTGCGACTGCTTGCATAGGTTTCTGGGAATTTAATCAGTAATTCTGAATCAACTTCTGTCCGTAAACGGGAAGCGGGTAAGTCCAGTTTTCCAGGATACCCGTCTCCCTGGCTATTCCCTTAAGGGCTACCTACCCGACCATATTCTATCGTTGTTTCCAAGGCGCAAAACACAAAATGCGATTTACTGAGTCGTCACTTGTTGGCACCACATCCTCACATTCCTTACTGTGTGTCCCTTGTGACTGCTACGACCAGATGAACCTACGACTAAAGCGCATCAGGTGTACGTAGATAACCTCTGGATTGTCCATCTAGCAGTAACAGACTGCTGTAAATTAATTTACTTATTCAGTTGGTTGATAAAAACAATCTGCCCTTGATAAGCGAACTGAACAAGCATGTTGTCTATAAAACTGTTTTTCCCTGACTGCCCTGATGTGGATCTTGTGGAATTTCCAATGAATCATGATGTCTTATGGTATCTGCGGGTGTGTTTGAGCGTTTAAAACAACGCAAAGCTACAACACGACTACGAATTAAGCCATCAGTGGAAATGTCTATGCACGGTGGGGAGATTTTCCAGCAATAACAAGCTCGAACCGATGATCTCCACCACCTACTGGTTTTCAGTTATAAGGAACTCAACGTCTAAGTGCCTCATTTCCCAATTTCAGCATATCCTGCAGTCCTCCTGAATACGCTTTTGTTTTATCTCAGCCAAGTCATAACGCCTGAGGTCCACAGTAAACCTGAGGCGCAACTTTAATCAGGAAACAGTAGTGTCATCTAACTCAAGTCTACGTGACATGAATGCACAGGTTTACTACCTAAATATGGCTAAAGATTCTAATAAGGTAATCGTTCAGCTGTGACATCCTTTCAGTGACTAGTTGTCATAACATTCGAAAGAAGCAAAGGGGCTGGGGTACTACTAGGTTGCCCAAACCGAGAAGGAGGAAGTCGAGACACAGAGATTGGGTTTGAACCACGAGCCTTTCGGTCAGTAAATTAGCACTCTAACTACTTGGACCATCTCGCCTACTGTGAAACGTCGAGTTCCAGCGAAATAAAACCAAAAACACTTATCTCATGATGAGAATAACAACTCTCCAGCCTTATTTACAGAGTTTTTGCATTTATTATTTCTAGCTTAAAGTGGGAGAATTCCAGCCAAATCCAATTTTCTCGCATGACCCTAAAGTACGATGGGAAAAACTTGTTTGTGTTATTGTTATTTCTCACGTCACCAGAATGCCGCCAAAAATCTCGTGCCAAAAACAGTCAGAGTGACCAACGTTTTCTACGAGTCACCCGACACTTCTTGCTTTTGACAGCTAAATTAGATAAACATGGTGCCGAAAGAGGACAGAGAGTGTCATTTGGAACGTGTTCACTTCGGCTGAACGAGGGACTTAGCTGATGATGAATTATTTTCAGTAACTATAGGAAATCACTGAGTTCATACAATACGTCGATTCACAACAGAAACTGGAATCAGATTATCTCTAGCAATAAATGCCTTGGTAAAAGTCTACCCCTGGCTTGAAAATGTTAACAGATCTCAACGTCTGAATGACAAAATTGTTGCTTTTGTTTGGAATTAATTTTAGATAAAGAAACCCACTGTTGTTCTTGCTTGAAATTCGGTTTTTGTCAAGCAAATGCCACGTATTCCGGTAGACACCCCATACATATATAGATTGTAAAACCCACTGAAGGTAGCTGAACATTATTGCCATCACGGAATACGGGGTGTTTGTCTCCGCGTCGAGAAATGGCTTTGCCATATTTTTGAATATCCTACATGTAGTGGACAACATACGGACACTATGGTGCCAAACGAGCGCAAGCAGTCTGTTTTATGAGCTCTGGATAAGTTAGATATGAAGCACTTCAGTTTCGAGTATGAGTTCGGTTTCCACACACTGCATAAGGAGGTTTTGCTACGGAGGTTGTCGTGGACAACTGACTCAACTATGGCGACAGCTACACCATTTTTATTATGTTGATTGTTGGCGGTTCCATTCAATTTACTTTCTGAGAAACCGAGAAACTTGCTTGAGAAGGACAATATGCAGTAGCACACATGTGTAACTTATGGGTTCGGATCTCAAGCAAGCCAACAAGCTCGCCTACCGTTTAGTTACACAGACTTTAGAGAAGTTTATATCTTAGAATGGTCGAAAACCGCTCCTGAAGATTTCCAATTAAAGATGGCTAGTTAGAATTATAGATATGATCAAGGTATCCCTTTCCTGGAGTGTGTGGAGGCAATTGATGCGTTTTGCTCCTCAACTCAAAAGTTTTAGGTGCATGCATTACAAGGGCTATCGAAAATCAGCGCAATCTCATCTCTGCCCGGTGGTAAATTTGATTTGAAGATCTTGAAATATTAGCGATTTTTGGCTGACTATTCCTAATTTTTCAAAGAAGTGCCTTGAGAAGTATTTTACCACATGAATACAACTGGCACCAATAATCTTTGAACTGCGACATGCTTTATTATTTTCGGAATAACCGATGGCTTAGAGGGTGTGGTTAAATATCTTTCGTAGTTTTCTGCACTGTATCGTGCATAACTTTGGTCTAACCATACTACTAACCAGCCATGAGTTGTAGAGCTGTTAAACTTGCCATAAGCTTCCCCAGGTTGGTGGGATGCGCTGTGTAGGTTACGACAGGGACAGTTCGCCTTTTAACAAGACCCATCTACTATTTTACAGGTCTCTTAAACCTCGCATTCACAATATATGCGTATAACAGTGCTGTTATGAGCGGCCTTCGAGGTCTGTCTTCCTTGAGGGAGCGAATACAGCGAACTCAAATTATTATCCTGTACGGCGCACCAAAGAGACAATACAACTAGAGAGCAATGTTACACGTGTATCCAGTAGTCTCATATAAGCAGTGCTAGTAAAATCGTGTTCAATGACTTTTCAGCTAAGTTCATTTTCCCTTTCAACTGTCCAGGTATTTTGGGAATCTTCTTCCCTGGAATTTCTTGGATCAGCTCTGACCAATCAGGATGTCAGTCCAGTTTGAGTTTGGGCGGAGGAACGAATCAAGGATGAAAAAGTCTTCATGACAGACTGAAATGTTGTGTGAAAGGCCTTATTATCCAGTGGTAAAAATCAAAACGCGCACGATGATCTCGTCGTACATAACCAGAGTTACTTCGAAAGGTTGGGTCTCACATGGAGCGAACCGTGTTCCCGGGTTCGGAGGTGACAAATCATGTACCCCACCCAAAAGCATATCTAGTGGTTGAAATCCTGATGTCACCGGTAATGTTTTTTGTCCACGGGCGTAAAACCATGTGATTGATGCTTTCTTCCCCAATTGGGGAGTGCGCCGTTCTGTTACACATGTAGAATATGGTTGCACCAGTTGATGAAGTGCAACTGTCGTGCAAGAAGACATCCTTGTTCGCTTCGTTTATCCACCCCGCCCAAAGTGGATGAGAATGTGTGACGGCTGAATGGGAGTCAGAGCTGTCAAAATATCAGCGAAATCCCGCGTATTATATCAAATTACTGACAGCCAACGATTTGCAAAACATCTGAATGCACCAGATACGGCCACCACTTGACCCACGGCGTGATGACGTGGCAGAGGAATGGGTGGGTGTGTGACAGGGCATGGTGGACATGGGGAAGGAACTGGTTCACCGAACACAAAATCACGCTGCTGCTACTAGCACTTTGAGTGTCCATCGGTCAGGTTAGTAATTTTCGTGAGGGAAACTACTCACAAGGCTGCTGATAACTCTTCGAGCGTCCACACTCGGTTTTGCTCCTCCATCTCGGGGTAACCAGGTAGGGTTATTGTCCGATATTCGTTTAGGGTATTCTTCACTTGAATTTTTTTAAAACCAACTTCGTGAACAAAAACTGTGGGCTACTTTATTTTATGACCGAGAGAAACTAATCAACATGTAATCGCTTGGTGTGGATTCCGTGATTAAAGTATTATTGTTTTTTTTCATTTCAACTGGCAATTTCTTACCTAATGTGGTAAAACTACATTGT